ACACCACCACCACCAGCACGTCCGAGCGGCCGGGCGGGCACTCCCGGGCAAAGTGCAGCAGGATCCGAAACCCGTTCTTGTCGTAGGCTGTCACGGGCAGGGCACTGCCTGGCAGGGGGAGAAGGGACAGCATGCAGGTCTGTGCTGCAGCACAAGGGCTGAGGCAGATGTTGTTGCAGTGTGTTGTAATATCCTGTTTTAAACTCCCGTGTCCCTTCCCCACGTGTGCCAATACCTCTCCTCATCTTTCCCCCTCACCCCCTTGCTGAGTGAGTTCTGTCAATCAGGCTTAACATTCCAGGAAGGTCTTTGTGAGGTTGGGCAAGTTCAAAAGATGCCCCTATGCCCAGAGGTCATTGGCCTGTCTGGGTGTCATCCTCCCCTGAGACCCTGCCCCTCCCACCTGGTTGGTGGCTCACCTGTCCCTTCCCTCCCCCTGTCCCGGAGCTTAAAAGGTCAATCAGACCACGTGCTCGGGATTCTGTTGGAGCTGTTACCACGATTCAGACCTCTGTGACCATGGAATAAAGATCTGGATATCAACCCTCCGACAGAATCCGTCTCCTTCCTCCTCACCACAGCCTGAAGCCTTCCCTCCTGAGGTAAATGGAGTTCCTACCAAGCCTGGGCTTGCTCACTGCCCAGCTGCAACCTCCAGCAAGCTAAAGGTGTCTCTGGGGTGAAACACCACAGCTGCCGCCTTTGGCCCAGCAGCAAGGGTCAGACTGGCCCAGGCACAATCTACCTGGTAATATTGGGATTCATATTCCAGTAAGGCAGCACCAGGTGATCAGCATGTTCAGCTGGAGCTGCTCATCCCTTCTCTCTGTTTCATGAAATTTGACAAGAAGCTTTGCCTTTAAAACTCTCCAGAGCAAAGTGAAAAACCTGAAATACTTACTGGGTTTAATGGATTCCAGGGGAACGTGGACATTGGCCAAAGAAATTTCAGGTGCTTTCATGGGACTGCCTTGCTGCTGGAATGATGTTGGCTGGAAGAGAGGGCTTCCTGATCCAGCAGGGCAGCTGCTTGGGAAGGGAGCTGGAGGGGCCCCAGAGGCAGTGGCTGCCAGCCCTGCAGGTGCTGCTAATGGGGCAGGGCTGACAGTGCTTGGCAAAGTCACCCCAGGGAACACTGAAGGTGTCACCATGCCTTGGGTGGCACTCCTGCAAGAGAGACAGAAAAGCCATGGTGAATGGAGCTGGAAGGGAAGCAGGAATTTCACCAATACCCAGAGGTAACAGCTTAACACAAGGACAAAGCAGCAGCCTGGAGTCAGGCTGCAGTCTGTGACTCTGCACAGTCTCACATGAGAACTACAAGGACAAGGGTGGTGGTCAGGTTGGGGTCACTTCTCTAAGCCAGGAAGGAAAATGGGGCCTCTTGTACCTTAACAGCTAATTGTCCTTCACACCACACCTTTGGATCAGGCAACAGTACAGCTGTGTGCTCTGCCTGCCTTTCCCTCCCAGAGGAGGGAAACTCATATTAGTTTGTAAACTGAAACCTCTGAGAAGAAAAATCCCAATCCCACATTTCTACCAAAGCAGACAATTGAAAGTCACCCTCAGAATCTGGCACTGCAGTGAGCTTGGCTTCTAACTGCAGAGCCAAAGCAAAGTCAGGACTTTTGGTTACCCTTTGGCTTCTTCGAGGAGTTGTCCCAATGCATCCATCTTATGTGACATATTGCCCCCCACAGACGAGCTGAAGAACCCAGGAGCAGCTGGAATATTCTTAGGAGGCCCTGCAGGGGCAGCTGGCACAGCAGGAAATACAAACGGTGCTGAGTTTGGGGCCGGGATGCTGGGAGCAGGCTGGGAGGCTGGGAAAGCAGAAGGCAGCGTGGCTGACGTCCCACAGGTGCTCTGTGACGTGGGATGGAGAAGGGGGTTCCCTGCAGGGTTGCAAGCAACAGTCACCATCTTCGGATTAAAGAAATCCAGGTCCAACTGCTCATTCTGGAAGAGAGGACAGGCAGATGTTTTAACTCACTGCTGGCCCTGGTGCAGAGATGGCACTGCTCTCTTACAGAGAGACAGAGGTTTACCACAAAAACAGGTTCTGGGTGACAAGCAGCAAAGTCTGTGGCCTAAGTCAGGGCTACATCTGATCTGTAATTTAAGCACAGCAAGGACTAACATCATGGGGACAGATGGGACACTGAGAAAGCCAGGTTCAGGGATACCTACTCTGCTGAAACACAGCTATCCCACATTTTGGGGCTAAGCCAGGCTGCCCCTTTGCCTGTGTGTGTGAGATCACATGCTTTTCCAAGGTGACAGTGTATTGTGAGACCTCCCACAACATCAATCTCTCCTTCCCTCCCTCCCCTTCCCTGAGACTCCTCCTTTGTACCTCAAACATGCTCCACTGGTTGTTCTCTGAGGTCTCCTTCCCTGCTGCAGGGGCTGGGTCATTCAGGCCTGAAGGGAAAAACAGCAGAAGGAGAAAATGAATTCAGTGTTAATTCCTTGGCTGCTGTTTCAGTACCACCAAAATTCAGTGTTAATTCCTTGGCTGCTGTTTCAGTACCACCAAAACTTGATTCAGCTCTTCCAGAGCCCAAGAACCTGATGAAACACTGAGATGGGACTGCAAGTCTCTGATGAGGAAGAGACTGACAGCACCAGCAGCCAACAGTCATGCCCTGCACTCTGCTCTTCTAACCCATCCTGATTAGCATTGCCTTCTGCTGTTCACACCTGGGCTCCACAGACAGGCATCCTGCAGGCTCCTATGCACAGCCCTTCTGAGGCACCTTCTCCTTAGCACAACCTCACAATCAGGGCTTCATCTGTCCCAAACTGCAGCCTGTACACACAGCACGACCCAGCAGCCCCAGAGATCAAACTTCAATTGCACTAAGCAGTTATTTTCTTGCAGCCAGCTCTGGGAAGACTTTAATACTGACTCACTGACCGGGGCTCATACTCAGAATGATGCAAGGGTGTTGCAGTGTGTTGCATTGTCTTGTTTTAAACTTCCGGGTCCCTTCCCAGGTGTGCCTATGCCTCTCTCCCTTCCCCCTCGCCCCTCGCTGAGTGTGCCCTGTCAATCAGGCTAACATACCAGCAAGGCGTCGTGTGATTGGTCCCTCAGGCCTGGGGGACATTGGCCCGTATAGGTGTCCCCAGCCCCTTGAGACCCTGCCCCTTTCACCTGGTTGGTGGCTCACCTGTCCCCTCCCCTTCCCCTGTCCCGGAGCTTTAAAGGTTAATGAGACCATGCGGCCTCATTCTGTTGGAGGAGTTGCGGGAGCATTCCCTGGAACCCAGGAACACGGAGAACACAAAAGCAGCCTTTCTTAGGATGGACTGAGCAGCCCTTTTGCAGGCCCCTCAGCAGCTTACCCAAGCACAGGAGCTCCTCATCCAGCAAGGACAGGGAGCTGCTCGTGCTGCCCTGCTGAGCAGGTGCTGTTTCTGCCTGGCTGCGCGGGGGCACGAAGGCCTGGGGAGGAGGAGGGAGGATGGGGATCTCAGCTGGGCCGGGGGCTGGGCTGGGGGCGGCTGCCAGGCTCCTGGGGGGCAGCGGAGGCGGCGGCGCGCTGCTGACGTCCAGTCCTGCCAGGTCGATCAGGGTGTTGAGATTGTTGCTGGAGTTACTCCCTGCAGCAGACAGGAGAAAAACACTACTAGGAAAAAAGGCAAAAGGCTCAGAGCAAACCCAGTGTGTGCAAGAAATTAGCAGAGAGATCCTCATCTGAGCATGGCTTATGCATCTCTGTAACAGAGAAAGGATATTTGCTGTCTGGACTATGTAAATCAACACAGATACTTAAAAGGATGAAATTCGTGATCTCTTCAAAAATCTTTTGAACTCAGATGAAGCTTTGGGAGATCCTACAGCATTATAATAAACAGAGGTTATCAGAGATCTGGAAAGCTGAAGGAAATTCATACCATCTCAATCTTCATATTTAGAACAGTCTTGTCCCTGTAAGATGCTGCCAGGCAGCAGCAAAAATGTTTGAGTTTCAAGTGGTAATTCTGTCACACTCATGTCCAGAGCTTTCAATGGTGAAGTTCAAGTGTGAAATGGGCAACTGGCCTGAATTCACAAATTGGAATTACTTGCAAAACCAGGAAAAGGCTCCCTGGTCCAGCTCCTACTCTTCAGCTCTTGTTTGATAAAATGTTTTTGATTAAATTATCTTCTTCTTACACATTACCATTAAGAAACAGGACAAATGTGGGGAGGAAAATGTATGAGAACTTCCAGCCACACAAAGTGCTCACATGGAGGTTTGCTACTGCTGTCATCAAAGGTCTCAATAATATGGACTGAGCAATGGAGAATGCAAAGCTGCAGCACTGCTGCTCCTGTCCAGAATTGTTTATTCACTGCTCAGAAGCCTTCTTGCTCCCCTCTGATTCACAAACTGTTGGCCACAAGAACCATCAAAAGCTACTTTAACAAAACAGGAAACATTGAACACTTAGAACTGCAGGATTCAAAAATTAAACAATTGGCTTCCCAGGAACTCACCTTCCACTACAGACATCCCAGGGAGATCCACTTCACCATTCATCACTTGCCCTTCTATTATTTTTTTATAAGAATTTATCACACGTGATAAATTGTCACTGGCCTGTAGAATATCCCCTACAAGAGAGATAAAAATGACCTCCAAGGCTTTAGTCACTTTGTTCCCACTAATGCTGAGAGTGCTCAGTCTTCAGCTAAATAATCAGCAAGAAAACCCATGAATATTTTGCTATGAGCTCCATCACTCTGCCTGGGCCACATTTCTATAAGCAATACCCTGACCTTTTCTAGCTCCACACACATTGCAGTACCGAGGAAAAAATGAGCCCAAGGTTGTTCCCCACAGCAACTCCCTTCCCCTCCCAAAGCAGCAGCTGTCCCCCATCACTGCTCCCAAAGCAGCAGCTGTCCCCCATCACTGCTCCATCCCCCTGAACCAACTGTACTGTCCAGTCCTAGCCTGAACTAGGCTGAACTAAAATGATAAGCACAAAGAGAGAAGGCCTGTCCTTTATTAAAGCAACAGGAACCCACAGTGAGGAAATGACTTTATAGCTGAACCCTTACAAAGGCAAGGAGCACAAAAGCAATTAAAAAGGAAAAGTGTGGTTTAGTTTACCCAAACTGCTGTCATTATCCTCTGTCTCACTGGCCAGCTTGAACAGTGTTCGTCTTTTGGTTTCACACCTTTCGTAGAGCTCCTGAAAGACAGATTAGGACAGAGGGTTTCACCAGCCAGGAGCTGTGGGATCTCAGCACCTCAGGACTGAGGTGTCACCGAGACCACCCTTGGGGGGCTCGGGAGTCCTGGAATGTTCCAGAAGTGTCTGGTGGCTGGACTTTGATCCCACACAGGAGACGACACCTGTATGAGGACAGGAGGGTTTCACCGGGGTGAATGGTGAAGGGATTGGTTAATTAGAGGGTGAAACACAGGGTTTAGGGTTTCTGTACAGGGGGGTTTAGAGAAGTAAGATGGAGGAATTGGGGCGTGTCCTGTCCTTCTTCTTCTTCTTCTTCTCCTCCATCTTCTGTGGTGATGGTGGCACTTTGGGATTGGTCATTACTAAAAGTGCACCGGACAATAAGGGTGAAAGGTATTGGGGAAAAATGATAAATATTGTACACGTAACTATGGGTATAAAGATAGGTGACCGCCCGGAGGGCAGTACAGTGTGCTCATGGCTGGCTGCTGAGCAGAGCTCTGTCGGGCCCAGAGAAAATCTTTTAGATAAACAATTAATAAACACCGAGACCGAGAAAAGAACTGAAGCCTCTTCTCGTCCTTTGAAACGTGGGCTGCCCAAGGCCACCCCGGGCCTTTCCAGGCCATCCAAACAGCCGAAAATCAGACAAGGAGCCACTGCCAGCAGCACCAGCCAGCACAGAGTGACCCCCAGAACAGAGCAGGCTCAGTATGCTGGCTGTGCCAGTGTGGCTGCACAGCCAGGACGGCCTCTGTGCCCAGCTCACAATGCTCAGCAGGGTTATGTGAGCCTGGGCTAACACAACCTGCATTGCCACCACATTTCTCAGTCCTCCCTCACATCAGCACCTGTGGTCAAGTTCTAATCCAAAAGACATGTTCCTTCCTTGTACAGCAGTCCCTAAAAAAGCAGAATCATGTTTCAGCAATTAGGCTTCAATTGTGCTGCAACCACTACTGAGTCTGCAGCCACACAACAGAAAGCTGGCAGTAACAAAATGGTTCACAGAAACAAACACGTTTCTTACCACTCTTTAAAGACTTTGTTGTTAAAAATAAGTGGGTTTGATTTTTTTAATAAGCTAATGTGCAATTCTTAAAGGCTCTGGGCCTACCAAGTCATCCCTGGTGATCGCTTTGATTTTCACTGATGTCCTCCTAAGCCTGAAACACAAGCTAAAACTTTTCCTCTGAAGGGGAGGGACTATTTTCTGCCCCATTTAGCCTTTAGTTTGTTCATCCACAGTGCTGCAACAGTTATGACCTGCAAGCTGCGTGCCCTTACAGGATCCAGAATTACAAACTGCAGGTTCTGCCAAGCTGCACCTCTGGAGAACAGCTGCACTTCACTTCAAGCACAGATGAAATGGAGCTACTCCCCACCCAGTCTTCTGGTGAAAGGCACTAAAAACATGGATATTTTCTTGCCTGCTGTTTGCAGCAACTGCTCCTGTTTCTCACCACTGCTCTCCATTTTACTGCAGTGTTTGTAATTCTCTGCAAAACTCAAGTCTGTACTAAAGGACTGATTCCAGGACTGCTGGGAAGAAGGAGCAGCTCAGACCCACCTTCATGAGCTCCTTGTCAGCCTCTGATGAGTCCTCTTTGCTGTAATGAACCAGCATCTCATTCAGCAGCTTCACGTTGTTGTTGACCTCCTCCAGTGTGTGCATGCGCTTTGTCACCTTCTGGATCCGAGCCTCGTCCTTCAGGGTGGAAAGCACAGACAGAAAGGATGAGTTTCCTTCTGAAAGCTCACAGCAACACAAACACAGACATTATCTGCCAATGTGTCAAGTAACTACTATTAAAGATTAAGCCAGAAAAAAGGAAACAAAACCCTTCTTCATTCATGCGAAGCTTTGTTTATTTTATTGTCTTTTCACCACCATTCTGAAATTACAGGCAACCCCGTGTTTCCAAAAAGTCTCATTAGATAGACTTCAATGTACTATTACACCACTAAAAAAGTTCCAAGAAGTTTCTTTCTGACCTTTTCAGAAGATTTTTTTTTTTTGTTCACTTGATGCCACTTAACAAAAGAGAGGTGTTTGAGGCAAAACATTTACTAGGAACAACAAGCACACTCTGGTGGAAAATGTCCACCCATCTCTGACTGGAGATTTCAGCTGAAGACGTAGGAGAATCTGCCCTGGGGACAAGAGGAGCTTGAATGAAGTATCTTGGTAACCTACACAACCACTACAGTCCAGAAGGTATCCTTTTATTTGCCAGAATCCCAGTGAGTCATTTCCTGGACTCCAGAGATTGGAATGACTGCCATGGGTGGATGCAGCACAGCTCTGCAAACAGGAAGGTGTTTCCATGAACTTGTTTGTGAGAAAAACCAGTCCAGTGACTCAGTCCTCAGCATCCAGGGGTGGTACCACCATGCTCCCACCAAACCTTGATATGAAATCCCACCTTGAGTGATGGGAATGTGGTTATTTACAAGAGACATTCAATTCCTGCCCCATCATCCACCAGAGACACCAACTGTAGACACAAACATCACATTTCTGTGACACAAACATCTCCTAGGTACAAGCTAGAGACCAAATCCTAAGCCCTCCACCATTTGAAGTCAAACTGCTTAAAACCTGGAAAGCAGACTGCTTACCTGGACCAATCCTACAGGAATTTCTTACCTCTTTTACCATGGATTTTATAAGTTTGTTGGCCTCTTGTAAATCATCTGGGTTTTTACTTTTCAGCAGCTTGGCTAGGAGCTGAAAGACAAGAAAATTATAGTCAGGAAACAAATAAAGACCCTTGAGCAAAAGAAAAGGACTCCATATGAACAATTCAGGGGAAAAGGGAAACAGCCCAGGGTTACAAAGCTCACACAGCTTCCATAGTTACAGGGACTTCAGCAGGAGTCATTTGGGGTTTATTATCTATGTGAGCTGCTGCATTCCTGCTTTTACACAGGACACATTCTGTAACATCTCAGTGACTTCTGGCACTAGATAGTTATTTCTCCCATACATTATTTTTCCTCCTGTGTGTGAAACATTCTCTGCTCTCCAGTACTTCAGTAGGATGGCACTTTAACATAAGTAACCCCATAATGGTAACACAGACAAGGTCTTAACTGGAACTTTGGGTTAAGCAAATGGACAAAGCAGTGAACCCTGCAAAAGTACAGATCATCCCCCCAAAATAAAAGCCACATTATTATACTTTGCTTCCTTATTCTAAATGTGCACTGAGTAATCACTTTACATTAGTGATTTTGTCACAAGCCTTCACTGTACCTTGGATTTCTCCTCATCATCAAACACTGGGTTCTTGGGACGAGGCGGTGGGGAAGGAATCAGAGTTCTGTCTGCAGGAATCACAGGATCAAACATGACAATCCCTGAAAGCAGAAAGGGATCCTGTGGTCAGCACACACACTCACAGCAGGCAGGGCACACAGGCACTCCCAGGCTTCTCTCAGAGCCAACACACATCCACATCCCCAGGCTGACTTTACCTGGATGCTCTCCCAACCCCACAACATGAGATAAACTCTGCCTCTGAAGGGGAGGAACCATTTTCAGCCCCTTTAGTTTAGCCATCCACAGTGCTGCAAGGGACAGTTATGACTTCCAGTATGTGTGTCCTAATAAGACAGGATGGTTTCCAGAGCTTTCATGGAATCTATTTTTCTTGTGAAGCTACTGAGTTTTTTCCATTGTGCCTACACAAAAAATGTGTGTCAGCTGAACTAAAGGAACAGCTGCAGAGCCATTTAGCTAAAAGAACACAAAAAGCTACTTGGAAGCCCTTATTTCACTTTAAATTAGACTTGTTCAAATAATCTAATAACTACTTCCATAAAAAAAAAAAAAAAAAACTCAGAAAAGGCCCTTCAAACCAAAACAAAAGTCTTTGCAAGGTATTTCACTAATTTAGTTAACTGAGCCAACTCACCCCTGCCCAAGGCATTTACACATCATGAAAAGCTTTTCAGAGAATTTCTCCCTTGTTCTATCTCCCCTCAGAGCTTGTCTTGATCCCATTTAATTAAAAGCTGTATATTTTGTGACACTCTTGCTCAAAGCCCAGGCTGGAGAGAATGCTGAGCGAGCAGCTGCCTCCCTACCTTGTCTCTTGAGCATGTAGTAGGCATCCTTGATTTTGGATTCCTCTGGCAATGCCACAGTCCAGCTGTACAGCAATTCAATCACTTTGGACTTCACCTTCTCTGAGACTCGGTCCCCCAGGTACTAAGTGTGGGAAAAAAGATGCAAATTCTTCATGTTCTTAATTTCTTTCTAAAAATAAAGCTCTGTGGAAGCTCAGTGAAATACATTCAGAGGTGTATGATCCAAGTCTAAGGTACATCTCATTAGGAGGAAAAGGTGCTCCTCTAATAGATTTGAAATAAAGTGAAGAGAAGCTTTGTGATTACCTTCAGCAAAAGAAAAAGCAGCTGTTCTGCTGGCTCCAGGATTTTGCTATTTTAAAAATTACAGCAGTACAGAGAACCACCCCCTCCTCTGTCTTATGGGAGAGAATTTGGGAATGCATTGCTGCATCAATCATGCCATAGGGAAGATTTTCAGCACATTAAACTCATCATGAATGCTGAGGGACTTAGCCTGGCACTCTTTACACAGCAAGTCAGCAGAATGAGGACTAGAACTCCATGGTGTGCTGTCAAACCTCTTGTTTTAACCTCTGCATCACATTTCTCTTCCACAATCACTGGAATTTCATTTCTTAAAACAACACAGCCCAAGTTTTAGAAGCCTTTTAGAGTTACCTGAAGGATTAGAACAGCCCAGAGACTGTACAGTGATAGCAATTCAGTACAGCTTCCTGAGAGATTTAGTAAGGCATAAAAATCCCCCAAACAACAAGAGCTTAGCTAACAAATGCTCTTGAATATAGACTAATAAGTGCAATGAGCCAAAGAGAACACTGCAAATATTTTGGATGCTGTCTGTAGCTTACAGAGGTCAAACAAAAAGCAGCTACAGCTGTCACACTCAGGGACTAACCTTTGGAGACACAACTTTTATTAACTCATTTAAAAAGCGAAACTTTCCAACTTCATTATGAAATCTTCTCCCACAATTCTTCATGCAAGCTTCCAGCACCTGCATTCAAGGAACAGAAACAGGGGCTGAAAGCAAAGGGAAAAATCCTACAGTAACAGTGTGTGTTCTGCTTAGAGGGGAGGTAAGGGCCCCTGTCAGTGAGACAATACTCCTGCTCCATGCAGACATCCATCTCCCATCTTTAGGGATAGCACACCTGGTGTCACACCTTCATCCAGGTGCATCTGGGTCTGTGTTATCTCAGCACTTGGCCTCAACAATAAACACCAATCTTGCCTGAAGATAAAGGAAAGCAGCTCAAACTAACCCAGAGCTGTTTCTGGACAGTTAAGGGATGAACTGTGCTCCCTTCCCTCCCAGGACCAGGGCTCTCAGCCCAGCTGACCCCATGGACACACCCTGAGCCCTCCACCCCAGCCAGGTGAGGCAATGGGACACAAGCCTGGATTCAGGGGTAAGCAATACCTACTGTCAAGGCTTGCACTGCCTCCCATTCCTGTGGTGACTGGATTTTATGAGCCAGGAGTCTCACAGCTATCTGAGGCCTAGAACAGAACAGGTAAACACCAGGGAGGACTTTAACATTTTCACAAATTCTGCTGTTTAAACAAAGTGTCTTGCAAGTAAAGATTTTAAACATATGAAGCTCTGCCAGCATTATCAGTGATAACCCCATTTTACAGACTGGCAAATGGAATAGTTTTGGCCAGATGAGAACCCTGAAGGTGCTGAACCTGAAATTAAAGCAGATTCAGAATTCCCAGTTTCCCAGTGCTCAGTCTGGATTAGCCATGCTGCCTTTCACAGGAGAGGCAGCATCTTCTCTCTGTTGTAGCCAGCTCCTCCTTGTGATATCAGTATATATAAAAAATTGTAAATGTTTGATAATGGAATTTCACACTTTAAATTGTGAACATTTATTAAGTCTAGAGCAGTTTGGGACACCCACCCTTCAAGCTCCTTGTTGATCTGGTCACAGAATCCAATGATGTATTCCCAGTCTTCTTGCCTGTTGGATGGGTTGGTGGCTTTATCTTTGGCAAGGGAAAGAGAACATATTATCAATCAAGAGAAGAAACAGTGTAAAAGGTCACACATTTCCTAGAGAAAAGCATCTGACATCCACTGCCAGCTCTAACAAAGGAGAAAGTTCACACATGGTGTGTCTGTTCAGGGAAATGGGTGTGTCCAAGTTGAGACATCCAAACATCCATTATTTCCAAAGAAAACAGGTGGCCAAATCCCAAGTGTTTAGAGACAGGCTATTCTCATATCCTAAAATGAGAGCACAGAATAAAATATTTCAGCTCAGTTTCCTCTGCCTGAAATGCTGTCCCTTTCTATTTGGTTGTAACAATACATTCTTTAAAGGTTAAACCCTCACACCTTCTACATAGGAAATTATTTTTGTATTCCCTGGGAATTCTGCAGAAGGAAGAGCTGGAAGATCAGATGTTTAATATCAGTCACTTAGCATTAGCACTTGCCTTTGGAGTGCCAGCTGCTCTGATTGATGCCTGGCATTTGTGAACTGAAATTTATTATTATACATTGAGTTCTTCTTGCAGGTAATAAACACTGCAGCCTGCACCTGATCAGGAACTCAAATAAAACATGCAGAAGCTCAGGGATCAACACTTCACTGACAGGGCTGTTTCAGGCTCCTGGAGGATCCTCCCTCAAGCAGCAGGACCTCACTGATTGCAGAGCAGTCAGGCCATCAGCACCTCTGTGCTTCTCAATGCATGTTCTCCAGGTATTTACTGAACCCTGATGCAGCAATGAATTTACAGCAGATCACATTCCTGCTTTAACCTAATTTTGCAGCCAAGATGACCAGACATAATGGTTTTTCTTTCTTGTAAGGGAAGGAATAATGTACTGTACCTGTCTCTATATATCTAAGAGCTGGCCTTTAAGAAACCTTCCTAAAATTTTTAATATAATGGAAAGAGATTTAGGAAATTAAATATTGCTTAGTCAGGTAGTACAGAGCAGGGGATGAAGGGCAGAAAAAACCAGCACGCATTTCTGTACTTTCATCTCAGAGGGAAGCATAACAAAACAAACACATGCTGCATTACCAAGTGTCACTTTTTATCATCATTAAAACATATCCTTTTACCTTTCCAGAGACAGCTAAACAGCTGTCAGGCATCTACTCCAAACCCTCCCTTTCCCAGTGCACCTGAGCTCTCCTGCTGTGCCCATCCTGCACGGCTTGCTCAGGTTTTCCTCCTCACTGAATGGCATTTGTAAAGCCAGTGAATGTTTCCATGGATGGCATGGTAAAATATCCTACTGGTGAATGAATCTCTGTGCCCACTGCTGACCTCCATGGGACCCGAGATGAGCAGAAGACAGCAGTGAGGGAGGAATGACTGCAAGGTAACATCCTGTAGAACTCACTAAGCTACCAGGCTGGTCTTAAGAGATTGAAGGCAAGCTCAGTTTGAAAGACAACTTCTGCAGAGCCAAACACTGTTCCAAACACGTGGCACCTAAACCTTATCACCACAGTTGCAACTGATGAACACCATCATGAAACCACGGACTTAAAACAATGTAAAGCCTCTTCATTCAAGTCAAACACACTGTGGTGGTTTGGTGCTCCCAAGCACCTCTTGTGCTCAGCAGGCCCAGAACAAAAACCACTCAGTTCCTGGCTGGAATTAAGGGAATTTACTTAATAAATGCAGGAGGAGCACAAACAGATAAGGACACACAACCAACTGGACTTTGATGGATGCACATCCTGAAATTAGGAAAATGATGTGGTACAAACAGGAAAATGTAACCAAGTTTCCTATGTTCAAAGTGTTAATTTTAAAGCTGTTCCAAAAACGTTTTGCAATGACACTGGATTATTTCATGCTCTCAGACTCATCTAAGTTTTTTCTGCAAAAGCTCTCACACAAAGACAGTGAAGTCTCAGAAGGAGAGAGTGACTGCCAAAGGGAAGCGCTGTTCCACATGAAGAGTTTTCCTATTTCTAACATCCATAAAACCTCCATATGAAACCTTGGTTCATAAAAGTTAATGAGCTTGATCACAAGTCCTGCCCTGGCTCTGGAGATTGATGTGTTTGCATGACACAACACACCAGGGTGTAGGGATAGCTGTCCCCAGTCCCAGCACAGAGGAATCCCCTCACTCCACCTGCAGCAAGCTGTGTCACATCTATCGAGTTGTGACTTACAATCCTCTCTTTTTATGCAGAATGCTCAAAATGTGGGCAAGGAGCTTGTGTGTGCTGCCTTATAAATATGCTTCAACCCTTATGTGAAAGGGTTCAGTCCAGGATGAAGAGTTGGTGCTCTGGAACATCAAGTCTTTGGCTTTTCTGTTGAAACTGCAACCAAGGCCCATTTGGTACCAGTTATTTGCTTCCATAGACACTTGTCCACCTGGTCCCCTCCTGAAAATCCCATTTCACACTGGCAACCACATGACTCTAAACTAGCAATCTGAAGTCTTGGCACTGCCCCGGTCCTGCCACCACTTCTACCTCAGTTTTCAGCTTTTGTTTAAAATGTGCTCAGGACAAACAAAGCTGCTTCACACCCACCCTGAGTACCAGAGCCTCTCAGCCCTCAGGTGCTCTGCCAGACTGAATGCTAATGAGACAACATTCAGATTAATAATTAGATATGAAACAAAGGTGTTTGTTTTCCCTAGAGAGAAACCATACTGGAAGGCAGGGGAACACAGAGCAGCTGGAATGAAGAGAACCAGAGACCATTTACTGGCTGGTAACGAATGCTCCTGATCTCTGGGTTCATTTCTCTACTGAAATGAGCCAAAAGCCACCCAACAAAGAGTTTCCCCAGGTCAGGCTTAGCCTGTGATTCCCAGCCCAGGCATGTCCAGTTTAACAATCAGACTCTGCAGCCCTGGGCAGAGAACACTGAGCCAGACAAACAAAGGAAAAAAGAAATTGAGACAGTTATAACATTTTATCCATTTACATCTCATCTGTTCCACAGTGGAACACTGCCTTAGCCTGAAATGAGCAGGGTACAAGAAGCTTCTTTTTGGATGCAGCAGAAAAAGCAGCATTGGAGTCAAAGGCTCCAGTTGTGTTTGTACAGCTGGCATTATCTCCTAACCTTCTTGTGTTTCAGCTCAGAGCAGAGGGGACAGGAAGGATCACCTTCTCTCCCCCCAGCTGCCTGGAATGAGGCAGGACATGCAGAGGATGCCAGATCATCCCAGGCTGAGGCGCAGATCTTGCTGCAGCAGCAGGACACGAGGATGATGTTACTTCATGGCTCTGTGACTCCACCTGATGCCAGAGGCAGGGCAGCAGGAAGCTGCACACCCCCACAGGAAAAAAAAAAAATGGAACATTTTCAGTCAGAAATTCTCCATCTCCCCGTGGCTGGGAAGTTGGCTGTGCTGCTGAGCCGTTCCCTTAGGAGGGTAAGGCATGGCACATCATCAAGGCTGGCATCAGCCGTGGCTTTGCCTCAATTCACAGAAACCCCTCGGGCATGGCACATCCTCAAGGTTGGCACTAGCCATGGCTTTGCCATGAGCACAGAACCCCTCGGGCATGGCACATCCTCAAGGTTGGCATTAGACACAGCTTTGCCAGGATCACAGAACCCCTCGGGCATGGCACATCCTCAAGGCTGGCATTAGACACAGCTTTGCCATGAGCACAGAACCCCTCAGGCATGGCACATCCTCAAGGCTGGCATCAGCCGTGGCTTTGCCAGGATCACAGAAACCCCTCGGGCATGGCACATCCTCAAGGTTGGCATCAGCCGTGGCTTTGCCACGATCACAAAGCCCCCTCGGGCATGGCACATCCTCAAGGCTGGCATCAGCCACAGCTTTGCCAGGATCACAGAACCCCCTCGGGCATGGCACACCCTCAAGGCTGGCATCAGCCGTGGCTTTGCCAGGATAACAGAACCCCTCGGGCATGGCACATCCTCAAGGCTGGCATCAGCCACAGCTTTGCCATGAGCACAGAAACCCCTCGGGCATGGCACATCCTCAAGGCTGGCATCAGCCGTGGCTTTGCCAGGATAACAGAACCCCTCGGGCATGGCACATCCTCAAGGCTGGCATCAGCCGTGGCTTTGCCACGATCACAAAGCCCCCTCGGGCATGGCACATCCTCAAGGCTGGCATTAGCCATGGCTTTGCCAGGATCACAGAACCCCTCGGGCATGGCACATCCTCAAGGTTGGCATCAGCCACAGCTTTGCCAGGATCACAGAACCCCTCGAGCATGGCACATCCTCAAGGCTGGCATCAGCCACAGCTTTGCCATGAGCACAGAAACCCCTCGGGCATGGCACATCCTCAAGGTTGGCATCAGCCGTGGCTTTGCCATGAGCACAGAAACCCCTCGGGCATGGCACATCCTCAAGGCTGGCATCAGCCATGGCTTTGCCAGGATCACAGAACCCCTCGGGCATGGCACATCCTCAAGGTTGGCATCAGCCGTGGCTTTGCCAGGATCACAGAACCCCTCGGGAGGGCAGGGCAGAGCCGGGAGCTGCAGCCGCCCTGCCCGCCCGGCCCCACGGCTCCGCTCCCTGCGATGGGAGGGGCGATCCAGCCCCAGCACAGCGATCCCTGTAGCAGTGACCTGGCAGAAAAGCATCCTCCTAAATCTGACGGCAGCACTCAAGGCTTGAAAAATGTGTGCCCCGCTGCAATCAGGCTCGCTGCAATGCTTCTCACAGTGAGTAAGGCCTTTGTAACTCTTCCCTGTAGCCCCTTGGCCAAGGACACGTCGCCTCTCCCTTAACTTCCTCAATTAAAAAATATCCCCAGAAAACAAGCAGTCAGGAAGCATTCCAGGCTATACAACCCAAAATATCCTTCCTACTAGAGACATTTTCACACACAAACTGAACTGGGTGAGTCAGCTCTCCTCAGAGAAATATTGCAAGGAAGGGATGTGGGTGTTCCTTCTTGTGTCTCACTGGCTACAACAAAAGATATTGACAATTTGTGGGAGTTCAGAGGAGGAGCAAAATCCGTAAGGGGACAGAAGGGATTGAGCTAAATTGAG